CAAAATGTTTGCGTCTGTGCTATAAATAGACGTGGTAAATCTAGCAAGCATTATTACGTGTTTTCATGCTTCTTCGGCTTTCTCTCTTTTCTCTCTGACGTTTAGTGTTTGATAGTAAATACCTTCATGCCTCACACATCTTTCTGTAAACATACATGCTAAGGAAGAGGGACACCTGGGTAAAGATGACAGAGCTGGCCCTGCTACATTGATGGGGATCATGTGTGCAAATGAAAAGGTAATCATTATAAATTGGGGAGTCACGATTCATTCTCCACCTCTGACACTTACCTCCAGCAAATGAGTATCAAGTCCTTTTATTTTTGGCCCAGGAACCGGTGGAAGGATGCAGGCGACCATGCTATAAAATAATTTGTGAGATAGGGTAAAATGACTTGTGTTCTCACTTTGTAGTTTCTGAAAGATTAGTATTATCTCTAAATAGCTACTACATGGACTATGACAGATAGGAATTAAACTTCTGGGGCTACATGAAACTAACAATCAACGGTGAAGACAGTGATTATAGTGGTCAGCTTCAAAATTAGCTCTGGCTAACTGAGGAGGCGGATTTTGAAATTAGTGGATTATTTGGACTATTTGCTTCCCTTTATTTTAGCTGCTCTTGGCAGATTTTTACTATTCCCCAACTGTGAGCCTCAGTTTGATGGGAAGAGCAACAGCGTCAAAGAATTCATTCTGTGACTTTTGCTAGCACTGATAAAAAATTTGTTAATGGGTGAGCACACTGCTGTTAATGGCCAAAATGAGGTACATGAATTATCCATAGGTTTCCATCATCTCTGTATTTATAACTTTTTTTTTATTTACGTAGTTATCCCCGACAACTATAATTGAGAGGAAGGTTGATAGACAATGGTGTACCTATAGCCTTTCAAAGCCACTGCCCAGACCATAATCAAACAGATGACAGCAGAAAGAACAGCCACAAAGATCCACACGGTGGTATCTTTCAGGGTGGAATCTAAAAAAGCAAACAGTCAGAAAGCTTTGATCGTATACAGCAACATCAAACACAAAGGAACAAACAAAACTAATGAATGAAGACTTTGAACATAAGTTTTACTTCCCTAAACTTCTTTTGATCTGAAAAGCAATCTAAACTGAGTAGCATTAATGATGGGTTTAATTTTTTCCAATATTATTAAATTTTAATACGTTGCATATATTTTATAGTACTCTACACTTTTAAAAATCCTTTTGTTATTTTATTTGATACTTAAAGAGGAAATTCAAAGTCACGTGGTCAGTTGCAGTAATAATAAAAGTTAACATTGATTAAGTTCTTACTAAAAGCCATCAGTTGTGTTAACCTCTTTATAATACATTGCCTTGCATGTAAAGATGAAACTCAAAGAGTGATTTACCCATGGGCATGTAACTATAAAGTTACAGTCTGGGATTTGACTCTAGTTCTTCTGCTTTTAGACCCCTGTGCTTTTATTTAGGAAGAGCCAGGGCTGGACAAGACACGTGTCTTTGGTCAAGCAAGTTGTCACAAGCGCTAAGCTTCACCATGTGGTTTTGGGCAAGACTTCTAACTTCGCTGAACTTTGGTTTCCTCACTTTTAATTCCCAATGGAAATTATGTTCTCTCTGAATATCTGAGAGGGTTGAGAGGACCAAACAAGGTAAAGACTTTGTAAACTGTAAAGTACTTTAGAATTGCAAGATGAATCATTCTCCTGTGGAACACAAACCACTATGTTTACTGACACTTATCTACTGTGCTTTGACTAAGAGACCAACATGTAATAGACATCGGAGACAGAAAATCAGTTCAGTTCAGGCTTTGAGATGGGATATTACCTTACAAATTCTGGGAGAACTAGGTGATGACCTTGACAAAATGATAGAGATGGGGCAGATGGGAAGAATGACCATAAAGCCCTCTGAGACACACCAAACCCATATCTGCAGTTTATCTTAGAAACTGGTCCTCGATGACAGTGACTCAGGGAGCACTGCTGTATTTCCAGATGTCTTTGTGTTGGTTGGGGAGAGGTTAAACCCACTTCTACTCATTCTTCTGACTAAGGCTCAAAATAATTTCTTTATTAGTAGTTACCACATGCAAATTTACTACATTTATTCTATTTAAAAAAATATTTAAGGATATAAGCAAAAAGTCACTAAGTCACTCACCATTAGGTATCTGGATGGAGCTCTCTGGGCCCCACTCACTCCAGAATCCATGGTCTGGCTTGCAACGAACCTGAACAAGATATTTCTGTCCTGGATATAAGCTGAGAATCTTAAACTGAGTTTGCTGCCCAGCAAAATGAGTCTAAGGGGGAACAAGAAAAACAGAAGTCACTCTGACTTGTGTTCTGAAGAAAGAGAATTTCTCTTAGATAATAAACTATTGAAGGAGTGAGGCCAGACGGTCAGACTTAGTAGATACCCTGTTCTCACCATTTCATTCCATCAGCCCATCTTTTCCTATTTATGAACATGATTCATACAAAAATTATCTTTCCATTTGGAACTCTATTTAAGAAAGACATATATTCTGCTCCCTATCCCCTGCCTTCTCAATTCTCCTTTATGGAAGGTAGTAAATAGTCAATAAAATTGGAAAAGTATTATTTTGTAAACTCTAATGAAATAATTGATTCAAGGATTATTTATTGGTTTAAAACCACTAGGTGGAAGAGAATTGGCACTCATGTATGTTGAAGCAGTAGTGCACAAATTAAATGTGACTTTACAGTCAAGGGATCAGATTGTGATCTCCCTAATCCAGGGGTCAGTTTTAGCATCATTTATGGTAGGTCAACCAGATGATTTGTGTTTCCTGATATGATTCAATATGAAGCATATAATATCACCTCTGAAGTATTCTTGCTCCAAATTGCTCAATGTGAATCTAATCAAGTCTTTAGATCGAATGTCTGGTCACAGAAAATATGGAGTCAGATAAATTAATGAAACGACCTCATGAAGAACTAATCAGAAAAATGCAAAAGATAAGACAGTCTGTGGGACAAGTGGCCCAGTCTCCTGAGCATGTTGAGACTAAAGAAATATATATATAACAACCAGCCACAATGTATTGTCCTGGAGCGGATTTCTGTTTGGACAAACTAACTGTTAAAGAGTGTATTGAAGCAATTGGGGGATTAAAATGTGGACTGGCTATTTAAATAATATTAAGGAATTTTAATTAGTTTTCTATATATGATCCTATTATTTTGGCTATGTTTGGAAATCTTCCCCCTTTAAAAGAGTCATGTACTAAAGTATTTAAGAGTAGAATATCATAATGCCTATAATTTACTGTATGATGTCTTAACATTGAAGTATTTTAAAATGAATAAAAAATACTAATAACAATCAACTGGTTACACTGAGACTTTTGCTCCCAAGTAGTGCCATTTAAGTCATCTCATAGGCGTCTAGATCTAAGATATCCTGAGGGAGGTGTATGGAAACCTAGTGGAAGAGGCTGTCCAGTGCAAGGAAGGAACCCAACCCTGGGAGAGCTGTGAAGATGCTCCTCCATCAATCCCAGTGGAGGGGAGAAGGCCTTTCCACATCTGGGTTGGTTACATCAGCATCAGGAGGGCAACACGATGGCCCAATATTAGGAGGAAGGACCTGTTCTCGGTTTCAAGGGCTTCATTTTTGCCAAAAAACATGGTTCTTTCCAAAAGCTTCTGGTTGACTTACCTCCCACTCAGTTGCTTTCTCAGGCTTTAATCGAATTTCATATTGGAGTATGAGCCAACCAGATCTTACGTCAACCAGGGTGGGTGGAAACCATTTTATCCACAGATATAATTTTTGGTCTTCTGGCTGTTTTAATTCCAAAGTCAGGTTCACAGGAGGGTCTGGTTCAACTGTAGGTAGGAATAAAAAAACCTCCATATTTAGTAAAAGTGGTATTTGAACATAGAACTATGTGACTTACCATTTCACTCCACCATGGTTATGAGACACCTTGTATTTAAGGTCAGGTGCTAGTCAGCAGATTTAAGCAAGGGAGATGTGTAGGGTGCAAAATTTAAGGAGACACTAATGGCCAACAAGCACATGAAAGATCCTCAGTGTCATTAGTCATTAGGGAAATGTAAATCAAAATCACAATGAGATATCATTTCAAACCCACTGATGGCTGGAATTCAAAAAATGAAAAATAACAAGTGACATGTTAGAGATATGGAAATCCTCAGACATTGCTGGTGAGAATGTAAAATGGTGTACCTGCTATGGAAAAAATTCTGGAAGCCACTCAAAAAGTTAAACATAAAATTACCATGTCACCCATCAATTTCATGCCCCAGCCAACATACCCAAAAGAAATGAAAGCAGGTGTTCAAATAAAACTTGTACATGAATGTTTATAGTAGTGCTATTCACAATAGCTAATAGGTGTAAAAAAACTCAAACGTCCATCAATTGATGAATAGATAAAAAATATCTATATAATGGAACATTATTCAGCCAAAAAGAGAAAGAAAGTATGAACTGATACATACTACAACATGAATGAATCTTGAGAACACTATGCTAAGTGAAAGAAGCCAGATATTATATCATTCCATATATATGAAATATATAAAATAAGCAAATCTATAGAGACAGGAAGCAGATTAATGGTTGCTTTGGGGCTGGGAACGGGGGGAAATCTGGAGTAACTACTGAAAGGGTATAAAGTTTCCTTTTGGAGTGATGAAAGGGGTCTGGAATTAGCAGCGATGGTTGCGTAGCATTATGAATGAACCAATACCACTGAATTGCATACTTCAAAAATGGTAAAAAGAGTGAATTTTACGTCATGTGTATTCTACCACAATAAAAAAATAATTAAGGAGGTACTTACTCTCGAGTTCCTTCAAGTACAGGTCTGTGAGTGCCTCCTTAAGAGTGAGGGGCCAAGGGTGCTGGCTTGTCTTACCCTAGTCTGAGTCTTGCTGGTCGGTAGCATTTTCTTTCTTCGTTTATGACCTTCTCAAATCAGTCTCCACACCAGGTGGCATAGAGTGAGTGTAGCTACAGTGTACTTGGCATTATAACCTACAATTACCTACAAGATGAACTTTAGAAAATGGGCCACTAATCCTTATGCTTATATGTTACTAAGTAAATACCTAAGATTATTTTATATGTATTTACTAAACAAATATTGGTTATTTAATATAAGTTCGAAGTTAAACACAATCCTAAGAAATGCCTCTGATCAAAAAGTATTGTACAAAAGTTCAAGATGAATCCTTTCTAGCAGTTTCTCAACCTCAGTATTATTTGAACCTTGGACCAGATAATTCTTTGTTGTGGGTGTGTCCTGAGCATTGTGGGATAGTTAGCAGCATCTCTAGACTACCGTTTAGATGCCAGTAGTACCCCCCGTCTTCCCTCCCTGCCATTGTCAAATATCCTCTGGAAGGCAAATAGCCCTAGTTGAGAACATTATTCAATGACAAATATTATTCAATGACAACAACAACAGTGAAGTCTATTTCTGGACATTATCTGCCAATGTTGTCTTTCTGTCTTATGTGTTATCACTGGATGAGAGTCAAGCTGATAGAAAATGTACTGCAGTTAACACTGATTTTTAGATGAATATCCATGGCTTGTACTGTATATGGCAGGGTTATATGAACACTTCTTTCATGATTTTGAAAAATATGGTCTGACACATTCTTTCAGGAGTAGATGTTTTCCAGAGTCAATGTGAATTTGATGCATTCATTGATTTCACTTTTAAACATACTACTCTTCTTTAGTAATCTCATTTTTTTGTGTGTGTGTGGATACCATTCATTATAAGAGTTGCTCATTTTAGATTTTCTCTTGCTTTCACTGTTTTGCCCTCATATACTAAATATTTTCATCTTTGAGGGCAAGGCAATTCAAGAAAGAGCTCATAAAAAAGAAATTATTTGGCATTTAGCATCTTAAAGACTTCATATCTCAAGTAAATTTATATGACTGGAACTTATTTTATTTCTACTTGTCAGTGGGGTTACATTTTTGATTTTCTTAAAATAAGATCAAATCCAGTTTCCACCCCAATGCTCATTGCAATGGTTTGCTGGGGGGAGAAAATATCTAAATGCAAACTATTTGGTATGGGAAACTTTGTAAAAGTTAGCCACTGATAACATGGCAATGCGATGATATGCAAGTAAATATTTGAGAGTCTTAGCCTAATTTTCCATGTCCGGTGGTATTAGGTAAATTGGGAAGACTTGGGTGAGCTTGAACCTAATCAGCTGCTCCTTAGATTATCATAGAAGATGAGGGCTGAATCCTGTCCTGGCTAACCCATCTCTTGACCTAAGTTTCCCTTTGTCATCTCTGACAAACCACACATGCCACTACAGTGATGCCTAATTGCCCTGCAGCTCCATGTTGATCATTCAAAGCAAGAAGCAGCTCTCAGAATGACTTTGTTTTACTTTGTCAATGACTTCTCCAAATGTTGTACTTATGATCTTGGCCTTCAGCCTCCTGTTCAAGGAGCACTATTTACTCCCCAATTGTTTTATTTTTGAAAGAATGGCTCTAGTTGCTAAAGAGTATATATACATTGAGAATTGAATTTAGGGCAAAGCAGCTGGACCTAGTTCTGCAGTGGAAGTAGATAGACTCTTTCTAAGAGCTGCTACTCTATGAAGGATCTCTGTCCTCCAGGGGGAGAGCAAAAAGAAATCCCAGCTTGTCAAGGAAGAAGGGGGAGTAGGGTGGGAGGAAAGGATTGATAAGGGACACATAAGTAGAATATTCCTGTTGGGTGCAAGGGGATGGGAATAAAGGTCAAGGGAAAGCACAGAAACACAAGGACCCCAAGTGCCCATCTTACTGCCACGAATGACTCAATAAAAATTGGTTAAAAATATTCAGTTGAAAAGGTTATCGTAAATTTTCTCCTCTTTCTTTTTGGTGATCCATCTGTAAGTCAAGGAGACTCAAACCGAGTTTGGTTGCTGATAAATCCATAATGGAGTAACGAATTCCTCACCCATCGCCCCTCTCCTTACCGATGTAAGTCACGTCCACATAACGTGGATCCGAGGTACTGCTTCCCATCTGGTTCGTGGCGTTTATTGTGATGATGTATATTGTCCAGATGGAGGTGTGCTTCTTGTTAAAGTAACAGGAGTTGGGGCCACCGGTTTTGTAGTCTGGACACTCATGGGTGTTTGTATCTCTGCAATGAATCATACATTAGGAGTGAGTGAAAGAGAGTCTGTTTTTTTCCCTAATAGAACAATACCACTGGATTTGGGGGATCGGAGCTGAAAAGCAGCTCCCCAAGCTTTTGAGCCCTGCCTTTTATGTCAGCTGGGAGTGAGACAGGGAAGAGAATGCTGGAGAAGGGGGTGGAAGTGTCATTTTAGAGCCTTAAGGACTCTGCTTCTTATCAACCCTTCCTTTCTACAGTTTGTGTGTGTGTGTGTGTGTGTGTGTGTGTGTGTGAGCATTGTGATAGATGCCCCTGCCAATAAACACCTGAACTTTCAACAACCCAGGTCCCACTCTACCTACCGTACTGCCATCGAGTCATCTCAGGAAACAGGCACTTCCCCTTGCACATAAACACCAAGGGGCCGTGCACAATGCAGCATTGCATTATATATGTTGAATTACATTTTATTGAAAAAAGCTTGAAGGGAATAAAGACCGATGTCAGTATATTTCAGATTGCACGAAGTCAGCAACAGAGTAATGTGACTGTGAAGGGAGATATTTCAGGCCCAAGTGGCTCATTAGGTGGCTCACATTAGGCTGGGGGCCTCGATGTAAGACACACTACACTGATGTGGAGGTGTATTCCGTTTGGGTTGCTGGTGTGAGCTCCTGAAATCTGTTTACTTGACACCCCTTTGGGTCCCAGAAGGGATGACAGCTTTGTGTACAGCAAAGTGCAAGCATTGGGAAATGGACCAGCTGTTGTTTTCTTCACTGGGGAAGGAGACAGCGCTCCCTGAATTTCCAGGAGGGTCTCGCTGAAGTCTAACAAAGCCTTCACCCAGAGATGATCTCTTTTAGTCTGCAAGGCAACCTTAGCTCCAAATATGCCCTCTGGGAAATCACAGATTTTAGATTGGCAATTTCTTAAGGAAAAATCCTCACTTTCCTTTCCTTATAGGGCTCTTTGTTTTCTTGGACATGAAACAAGTTTGAAAAGTTACCATACCGTGGTTGTCAAGGATTGCATAATAATCCTTTTACGGTGCAAAGGTAATGATTACGACAGAAAATTATAAATAGTACAAGGTTTATAGAAAACATCTAAAGTTGACTAGCACTTAGTAAACACTTATGTGTGACCTTGGGCTGCAACCTAGGTTTGGGACAGGCAGTTGGAAACATTGCTACAGTAGCCCCCTTATCCATGGGGGATATGTTCCAAGACCCAAAGTTGATGTTTGAAACCACGGATAGCATTGAACCCTATACTTACAAAGTTTTTCCTATGTATACATACCTATGATAAAGTTTAATTTATAAATTAGTCACAAGAGGTTAACAACAGTAAGTATCAAAATAGAACAATTATAGCAATATACTCTAACAAAAGTTAAGTGGTCTCTCTCTCAAAGTATCTTGTTGTACTGTACTGACCCTTTTTGTGATGATGCGAGATGATACAATGCCTATGCGAAGAGATGAAGACGTAGCGTTTCGCTACTGCAAAAGTTACTTGAACAAAAGCACTTCCATACTGAGACAGTCATTGTGATCATCAGCTATTAAGTGACTAACGGGCAACTAGGACATACAGTGTGTATACAATGAACAAAAGAATGATGCCTATCCCATGCGGGATGAAGCAGGATAGTGAAAAATTTCATCGTGTTACTCAGAATGGCACAAGATTTAAAACTTATGAACTGTTTATTCCAGGAATTGTCCATTTAATAGTTTTGAACTGTGGCTGGTTACAGGTAAGTGAAACCATGAAAAGCAAAACTGCAGATAAGGGGGAACGCTGTATGTCGTATTGCTTTTGCGGCTGATGAGCTTATGCGCATGAGAAACTTTAGCCAGAGAATGTGGACCTGGATGTTTGAGTCTCTTCTGCCAAAAGTGTGAACCTTATCAGTGCCAACCCAGGGAAGTGGGGAAACTAACTCAGAACCAATGTCATTTTGGCCAAGAGAGTGAGAACTCTCATGTGGGGTTTGATAGGAGAGAGGAGGAGTTTTTACCCTTCCTTGTGGTAAATCAGCGTGTAATTGGTGGGAAGTCCTCCATCTGCCCCAGGCTTCCACCAGCAGGTAAAGGTTTCCTTTTCAGGAGAGCGACATTTAAAGATCTCAGGTTTTCCAGGAGGTGACTGTCCTAAAAAAAAGAAAAAAAAAAAAGAAAGAAAGAAAGAAAAAAAGACAGAAGTTACCAGAGTCAGTATTAAGGTTCATTCACCTTTTAGGTCATTCTGCTGGTGACAGAAGCAGATTGATGGGACTGTGCCAGCGATGAAGTCTGGGGTTAGTACGCCTGGGGGTGGGGAGCTCAGAAATGCCAGAGCATTAGCATCTAGGAATCCTCATCTGGGGGCTGCCTCGATGTTGGCAGGATGGAGAGAGGGAGAAGGGCAGGGGCTAGCGGGTATTTGCAGTGGGGTGTGTGTGTGTGTGTGTGTGTGTGCATTGTGAGATGAAGATACCAATAACCTAAGGTCAAGTGACTAACTGTAAAATTTCAACAAAGAGTGAGCATCAAGAGCACGATGGATACATATGGACTGAAGAGAGTGTGGTCCCTCTGTAATCCCACGGCGCCTACAAAGCTGATACCCGCCCACAGCACAAGGGTGACCGTAAAATGAATCCTCCCCCTTTGCTGAGGACATGCCCTCTGGCACGTCTCCACTCTGCTCACTACCTCTGTATCTTTCTGCCATTCCCAAACCGTGAACTCAGTCTTCGGTCTTGGAGTCTTTCATCGTGTCACTGATGTTCCTTTTAGCTGCTTCGTTCTCCTGTCCTCGTCTCTTTTCTTTTCTTTTCTTTATCTTTTGTTTTTCCTTAATTCCATTCATCTTTGACCTATGACCCAGTCTCACAGTATATCTCCCCATTGTCCCCACCCCTATTTTCGAATCTTGGTTTTTAGTACCTTTTTATCTTACATTTCCTCCTCTCTCCTTGGGTCTTTATGTGGTGAGGGACGAAGGACTTCCTTGTAATTCTATGTCTCTTTTTTGGGGTAGGAGGCATGATAATAAGTAAAGAAGTGGGTAGCTGCTCTCCTGGTTACAAGCGATTATTATTATGAAAGAGCTGTATCCAGTCCCAGCTGGAGGCTAGAAAGTCCGAGAGAGGTGATATATACAATTCAATGTCAAGGGGATAGCATTTTTTAGTTGCCTAATCCCCAAAGCTCTTGGTGAGTCAGCCTCCTCTTCTCTTCCTTATCTGCCAGGTCCAAAGAAGGGATCAGTGACGCTGAGAATTTGCTCTGACGCTGCTGAGCTAGGGAGCCACATCCATCCACATAACCCCATCAATCCTCTCTTTGGCTGAGCTGGATGCCCACATGCTTGGTTCAGGAATTTAAGAGCAAAGAGGAGGGCTGGCAGGTGCTGGTCTCAGTAACTCTGAGTATTCTCTCTCTTTTCTCTCACATCTGTGTCCTACCCCTTGTGCTAGCTCTGGGGTCAGAACTTCTAGCTGAGGAGCAGATCAGAATGAGCAAGTTTGGAGGAGAACCTGGATGGGAAGAAGGGGCCCTTGGCAAAACTGCTCTGAAAGAAGAATTTAATGGACTGGTATGACACAGTGCTCGGGGTGGGGCTGAGGACACCGGGCCGAAAGTGTCAAATGGAGATGAGCTATGCTCCAGTTTCCAGGCCCACAAAAAATGATCCATGGCAGCCAGCCTGGGCTTTGCTAATATTTCTAACACTGCTCACTTCTAGGAAACATTTCTTCTGGATAATTTCACTGGTTGAAGCAAAGGCTTCGTTTTTGTTTTTGTTTTGGTCATGGCTGAGGAGGAATGTGTGAAGTAGAAAAAAAGAGTTTGTTAAAGAAACCCCAAACCCTCTGGTTAATAATAAGCATACTCAGAAGCCAGTTAGGGAAATTGTTGATTATTTGAGTACTTAAAGTTTCCCCGTGGATTATACTGATCCCCGCTTTCCTTTTCCTCTTTCTCTGAAAGTTTATCTCTTTCACGTTTCACTGGTTATTAGCAGTATCTCTAGGAGACCCAATAGAAGACAATAAAGTAGTGAAATTACAATTAATCAAATGTTGCTTTCACCTTTTTTAGAGGAGACAGTTAAAATTAATGGACTGTCTACTATCTGTTGCACACAAACACAAGGACAACTATATAGGTACCATACACACAGGTACCCATATACGCCCACATAAGAGCCTATATCAGAAACATGCACCCACACTCCACACAGAAATATATATATAGGTGCATACTTAGAGAAGTACAGATTGGTAGACACTCAGAAATGTACTCATGCAGGGAGGTGCACACACAGATGATACACAGGTATATACAGAGAAGCATTAGCAATAAGGTACATAGGAGAAGTTAATATACACACAGATATATCCCAAGGTATACACACCCAGAAATACAAAGGCTAGGAACACAGAAATGTACACACAGACACACACAGTCTAGTGTAGCTGTGAACTTCATTTACCCCATTAGCACAGAAAACAGAGTTGGCTGTACCTATTTCCCACTATGTAACAGCAATCTCTTACGTCTCTTAACAGTTTTCCAAAGAGTTTTCACATACATTATTTCATTTGAGGTGGAGGAAACATCATTCCCTCAATTTGAAAATATGGAAACCCACAGAGATGAGGTATTTAGAGCTGTTTCACTGCACTCCCAGAATAAGGATGAAAGTCAGAACACAATCACAAGCTTTTGCATTAATTGCATTAATTCATTTGTATTGATTTTTTGAATCTATTTTAACGCCAAACATTTTGCAAATAACCGAATAGCAGCAAACGGCATGTACATTTTCATTTCTCATAACGAGAGGACTATGATGGACTGACTCTCCACTCTTTCTGAAAACACCTCAGGATTTGAATTAAAGAGCAGGACACTCTCTTACTTACCATTCAGAAGATTGGTGTTGAGAAAAAGTAGCAAAATGAAAACAAATGTGGATGTCACATTCTCCTTCATGTTGTCTCCCTTCTCTTTCTATAGGAAATCAGAAGTTCACTGGAAGAGAAGGCATCAGGCAACTTTTTTGAAATGGCAGTCCGGTCAGGCACATGCACCACTTTACTCTAGGTGTTTGCAACTGATTCTTGCTCCTTGCTTAATGTGAATGACAAAACAGGAGGAAAGGAATGTAGGAAAATGTAACATGGTCGGATGGCTTGGCTCAGAAACATAGATCACACACGCTGGGAAAAATTCCACCACCAGAGGTCATCAGATGACAGTGTTCAAGGGCAGCCACATGGTGGTAGGCTCCTTTGTACATGCCCCAAAGAAAAATAGTTCTCTCCCCACCCAGCAGTCATCTGATGTGACATATCGCCCATTTGATGTGACATAGCTTATATACCCTACCAGAGAACTGTTCTGGGAAGGCTTTGATCCACCAGCCAAAAGTAAACCAGCCTGATAAGTCAGTGCGACTGCAACCTGGCCTCACTGATGCCACAGAGTTAGGGGGCCTTCCTCTGGAGGTTTAGGATAAGAAGTTTCTGGAAATCTCCTGGGCTGTAGGCATGGCTATGAACCACACAGCGAACACTAGTGAACCTCCATGTGGTTTATTTCTCTCCTTTGGAAAAGTTCCATAAACAAGAAATGACAAACTCCAGTCATAATTCAAGTCCCCTGGGTTCAGAGTGTTAAGTAAATTTTGAACCTGCAAGGGTTGAGAATTTTGAGCAATTTATTATTAATATTATTAGTTTTACCCTTGGAACAACTTTCAAAGCCTCTGAATGTCCTTGTAAGAAAAAAAGATTTTTAAAGACATTTGAAAAGGGCTCGTTAGTCTTAGCAGGCTCCAAACGACTCAGAAAACAAAAGATTTGATGAATGAAGAGTAAATTCTCAGAAACGCATGGCGTACATTTCTTTTAAATTTTATGGGCCTTTCTTTCTTTTCTTTTCTTTTCTTTTTTTTAAATTAAGAGAAGAACATCCAGGGGCAAGGCTGCTCATCTGGGGACATTTGAAATGACTGTTATTCGACAAGCCCCCAAAAGACCAGCCTTTGCCCATCACTCTTGGTCAGTGTTCCCCACCTGCCTTCTGGCTGCATACCACACAATGGGCTTCTTGAAGGCTTTGTCCACCTGCTCCTGTTCCCTGAGACATACTCAGAAATGTAAGTCTTAGTGACAGTAGAGGTTTGGGACACATAGGTGCCATCAAGTAGGGCTCCTGTGAGGTAACCAGTATGCCATCCTCTGGGGAGCTTCTAGTCACTCTTCCAGGATTTATTCCAAATGCACTCTGGTTATACATTCTAAACTGCCTGCTACATCTAACCCCTCAGGATCATCTTATTTATATCAAGTTGTTAAAGGCTCATAATGGGTTTAAAACCACACCTGCTGTAGTAAATGCAGCATTTACTATGGCCCCAGCACTGTGCTATATATCCAAATCTCATAAATTTCATTTAGCTCTCACAATAGCTGCATGAGTAGCACAAGGTATTACCATCCCACTTTATTTTGATTTTTATTTTCTTAAAATAATTTTTTTTTTTTTTTAGGCGAGGCAACCCTTGGTCGACCTCACAGATTGCAAGGACCTTGTCAGTTTACAATCCCTATTTTTCAGGTCTACAGCACCTGGTCTTCCTAAGTGGTCTGCTATCCAAGTATTAACCAGGCCCGACCCTGCTTAGCTTCTGAGATCAGACGGGATCGGGCTTGTTCAGAGTGGCATGGCCGTAGACTTACCATCTGGCTTTAACACATGAGAAAACTGAAGTACAGAGCAGTTTAGTAAACTGTCAGTCCCATGACATTGGGAGAGAGAAATCTGGCAAATCTGAGCCCATCTGAGAAATCACCCGATTTTCATTCTGTGATCGATGGTGCATTTATTGCCCCTTCTATGGGGGGAGACAGTGGAGACAACAGTGACTGACTCGGGGTGAACAGTGTGCCAAGTCTTGGGTGGGCATGGAGTCAAGAGAGCCAGGGCTCAGAGAGGTCACCTCAGCGACCCACTCTGCTTGTGCCTGACTGTCTCAAGTTCATTATTCCTACTAATCCAGCTTCAATAGGTCCCTATAGCCCCAGAGGAATTATTTGTTCTGGAAATCTGGTGATCTCAGCCTGGCTTCGGGATGGAAATTCTACCCACTGGCTGAAGAAGATCAATAATACCCTTTTATTGAGATTTCCCTGCTCTTTTGGACATTGCATCAAAATGCTTGAGATCAACAAACTATTAATCACACCTTTTGGGCGGGGTCAGATGCTATCCAGATATCTCTGCTGAATCAGGGTACCACGTGTTTTGCAAAAGAAATGCCTGGATGGGGAGCCGGGTAGGGGTAGGCAAGAGCAGATGTTGTCATGAGTTACACTTTCTGGTGCGCTGCTCCAGGCTCAAAGAAACTCTCCTAAATAAAATTTTCTTATAACAATGCTTTCAGTAAGTATTTTATGGACTAAAAAGAAACCCCTTCCTCTGGGATTTCCTAAGATATCCTGCAAATTTGCTAACTAGCCAGGTGTGCTTCTGATGCCTTAAAACCCCTGTGCCAGGAAATTAGACATACTTATGTAACTGTGTTTCAATGATTTCCCAACACATTCTGCATCTTACTCCCCAGCAGGACGACCATAGTAAACCTTGAGAAAGATGATCACAACTGCTCACTCCGAAGGGAGCTACGCTGAACGTTACCCCTGATCATACATTGTTTTTTCCCAGCACTAGGCATACCTCCCTCTGTCACTGATCATTTTTTATGGATGACAGACACTAAGCTGGGGACAAATCTGGTTTTTGTCTCTCTGAGTCCATCGCCCTATTGCAAGCAGGATCTTGATCAAGATTATCCACCCCAATTGGGGCTGGAACACCCAAAGAGGATCCATAGCCTGCTTTTAGTGATGGTTTTAGTGGTAAATGGCTCCAAATATTTGGAGTCCAATTAGGAAAAGTCATCTTCATGCCTCTGCCTGAGGACAATTATCTTGGCTTGGCTCCTCACTAACTCCCTGGTCGTGACCATGGTTTGGAAATGCAAGACTTGGAACCAAAGAGCAGGTCTGTAGCAAGTCAGCAGACCCCACGCCTTTCCCATGACCAGCTGCCTGGCCTCCTCGCTTCCGAATCCTCAAAGACTCTCCTTTATGCTTCTCCCATTATCTTATTCAAATATGCCTTCCTATCCTGCTATGTCCCACTGTGGTACAACTCCACAAAAACTCCTTCTTCCCCATCAGTGCTGAGTCCGTTCAGTCACTCTCTTTCCAAAAGCTTTCCTTCATCACCTTCCATCAAGCCAAGTCTCTTCGCACAGGCCAACAGTTGAAAAAGAAGTCTGGCAATTTTTTGCCTTAGCAACTTGCTCTTCTGAGAAACAAATGCCACTCTCCCTTGTTGGAAAATCAGGGCCACAGTCCCACAGCCTGTATTGATCCCACTGTCCACAGTACAAGGACGTGACTTAAGAGAGGAAGCCGTGTGGCCTCCTGAGAGTTAAACATAACAGATCTGAGCTTCTACTGTCTACACATATGCATGTTCTGGCCAACCAGCACCGAAGCCAATACTAAATACCAGCTATCTCGGCTCTACCATTTTGTGGGACTTGCTCCCAAGACCTGATGTCAAGTGATCTCCAAAGCCAGTGCAGTCCCTACCTTGTCCTGCCTCATTTGCCACTGTTGCTCCGTTGTTCTACTCAGAGTTTTGAGTCATTTCCCATGACTCTAGAAATGGACCGAACATGCTAGGCAGAGATTCTGGGAGCTCTATCTTGCTCTTGCAAGCCCAATTCCCACGGACAAGCTCAGACCAACCCAAGATCTGGATTTCTTTAATGACTGTCACACATACGACATGCACAGATCATAAGTACTCTGCTCAATAAGTTATCACAAAGTAAATATGCTCATGTTACAATCAGGTCCAGAAAGAGAACACTAATAGCACTGGTGTCTCCTCTCAATCTCTACCCACCTGTCCCAGCAGGAGCTGCTCCCTTGACTTCTAATAGGTTCGTTTCCTCTACTTTTGGACTTGATATAGATAGAATTGTACAATATGCATTTTTTCAGTGTATGTGTCTGGCTTCTTTCAATCCACATTGTTGTATAAATTCATCCTTGTGGCTACATGTAGTTTTACGAAATTCACTTTCGCTTCATTTTGTTCATCTTCATCCATATTACATTGAACGGAAGACCATAATCTATTTATTCATTCTACTCTTGATGTTTTTGGCAAACTTTGGATTTTGCTAGGACTGATCAACGCCCAGAGAGGAAGTTATCTGTACCCCCATAGCCACTTTGTGCTCTTCCCCAACTTCAGATCTCCACTATAAATGGTTAGGACACTGCCTGCCATATCTCCTGATTAATCCAAATTAAATTTCAAATGCCCTGCTTGTCCTAAAAATGCAAAATGTCTCATTTCTTGCAAACTTATTTTAAATACATCTACCTGCTGCTCCACCTGGGTTGGATGGCTTGAGGTTAGAATAACAGGGAAAGAACCCTATGTATCCTGTGATTTCTAGGAGTCTGGCTTGTCTTTTCAATATGGAATGCCAACATTTAGTTTGGAAAGCAGAGGGCATCATCTGCTCAGAGTGGGAAAAGCAGTAGGAGTGGTTAGTGATTTTAAAGGCTCAAGATTAAGGCATTTATACGAGCTCTGCCCGAAGTCAGTGGCCAATGACTGTAGAATGAATGCATGAATCAATGAAGCCCTAAAGGTGAAAAAGCAGCACAAGACTCTAATAACGTGGGATGAAACTTTGTATGCAGGAGAACATCCTATGCTAGCATTATTAGGCACGAGACTTGGAGTCAGCTTAGTATTCTGACTTTGGCAGAGGAATCGAAGAGTTTTTAAGGAGAGTATGACAGAGCTGTTTGATGCAGACATTGAAGGTGGGCATGTAGTACTAAGAGAACCCTAGCTGAGGGTGGGGCGATGAATGTTCTAGCTCTTCAAGTGCTACATGTGCCCATAGCAACCAAGTGTTTATCTGTCCATAG